ACTCAAATCATGCAAACACCAGCCATCGTGTTTACTGTTACAGCCAGTCCCCTTCCAACTTCGTCTCACTTATACCTAAATCCACAGAAATTATCATTACAGAATTTATATTATTTCTTAAAATTAAATTTAATAAGTCAACCTTTTGAACTGTTTTCCACTTGTTTGACAGAGTCAGATTTTTCATTTTTTAATATCCTGACAATCTTTATACAAGCAATTTATACATGCCACAGAGGAAAGAAGAGATACTTCTGACACCCGTGTATGCTTATAATCTGTTTTAGAATACCGGGTATATCAAAATTTTAATGCAAATTCAAAGAAAAAATATGCAAAAATAAAAAAAAGGAAGTATCCACATGCGTAACAGCAGACATTACCAAATACACTGTAGAAACATAGGGCAGGAATTAACTTCAGGGCACTTGCAAAACATTTGGTTTATAACTTGACCACAACAGTACTGTTTACTAACAACTGCAGAGCTAGAATGGTAGGAGCATTACTGAAGCCAAGAGCCTCTCTCTACAGCACCAGTCTCAGTGAATATAGACTTGCAGCAATAAAACCCCCTTTCCTAGGCAACGGGGTTAAAGCTAATAAAGGTATTTAGCAAACGCAGAAAGAAAAGAAGGGCCATGAAAGGAAAAGGAGTTTGAATTAAAATACCCTGTATACTTCTGTTGGCGTTAAAGCCTTCTAGACTAAAAGTACAAAATGGAGGAGAAGCTAGAGGAAGAAGCACCATGAAGACACATTTAGATAAAAAGCAATTAAAAGAATAAAGTAAATACAGTCCTAGAGCTGAACAAATTTACATGCTTGTTGAAAAACATGAAGAAGGAGGAGTTCCCTTCCAACTGAGTGGGTGCCTGTTGCAGAGCTGGAAATCCCCCCAGCAGCAGGCGGGCCCAAGGAGTACACCCAGAGTGGCTGCTGGGAGTGATTAGCACTGCCAGCTAATTCAAGGCATGGGGAGAGATCTTAAGATAATAAGAGAAAAAAGTGTGTTGGGGAAAGGAACTTTCCTGGATTGAGATCCTTTAAGTATAGAACAGGAGCAGAAATCTCCAATCACCGCAAGTGCTGTTAAAACTGGAATAACACCCTAGAAAGAGCAAATCTTATATACAACTTGCATGGACAATCCAAGCAATTATGTTCTCCATCCAATCCCAAAACTTGGGCACATACTTTGATAAATACACCACATTCCAGATGAAGGAAAACGTCTGGCCATACTACTTCAATGAAGGAAACCAGAGATGACCGAAGTATAGCTGGGGTGGGATTTAAGGAACAGGTCTGAAGTTTACCATGGCAGCTACAAATGCTACAAATAATTACTGTCAGGAATTAGAGCAGAATTATTTGACTTGCTGCTAAATTATCATGGTTTAAGTTTTTAAACTGACCCTTTCCCCACGACATGCAACACTCAGTTACAAGTGGTAAGGAAAAAGGAGAGTGTGAACTCAAAACTTTGACCTTCCTCCATTTTCACAACTAAATCTTAGGCGCTCTGTCTCCCTCCCCTCAAATGAATCTGCCCCTACTTATGACTAAAATTAATCTTTATAAACCCACGGCTTCAGGCTTATCTCAAATTGCAGCATGCTAACAAAGCTATTATTCATCAAGGATGGCACATTTTGAAGTGTTCCATGTCAAAGCCACATCAATATGTTTTTCAGTAGGGGGTGACATTCCTGTTTTCCTAGCCTGCAGAGTGACCCTTCTTGATTGAAAGGATCTTTATGCATGGAGGAGTATCTGACACAAACCAAACTGATATGCTGCTGGAGTTTTCCAGTAATGACAGCAGGATAAAGGGGGCCTTTGAAGTTCATGGAGGAGTAGGAAAAGGTGTTAATTTAAAAAGCTTGTCAGTATACCCAAGAGCAGAAGGAGAGCAAAGCACCAATTAATAATTCACACTTCTATTCCACATATTATCATAGTATCTCAAAACAGTTCTCAAACACTGATTAAGTCTCATGACGTCCCCCTGAAGCAGACAAGCATGGAGGAAGCTCTACTCCTCCCAGCCATGATGTCACTTCGGGAGCATTTCTCAAATGCTCCATCTGTGCCCCCTCTTCCCCACCTGTTAAATTGCAAAAATGGCACTATCATACAGTGGATCAGAAGCTTAGTGATTTCTAAATCAACACGGTTTTAGGTAGAAAAATAGCACACAAGGGCAATCTCTTATGTCAGACCACACTCAAATTACACTGAACTAAAGCTACCACATTTGACATAACGTAGCTAGCAGGAAGAAAACCCTCTGTCTTGATTCTGTAATACCCTACAGATTTGCTTTGCTTTGTCCCTAAGTACCCTGAGCACTTGAGTTCTAGTTAACGACCAGGATTCTTGGGTACTGTGTTAACACGAAACTCACTGTAATTACAGTAATTAGATCTGCTGTAGAAAGAATTGTGAGAAATGAAAGACTGTCCACAGTAGCCTCTAATTCTCAATTAACACAAGTAGTTGGTGTGTTTGGAAGCCAGGACAGGCATACCCATCGCTGCAAACTCCAGAGGGAATCGTCATTTACATTCAGATGGGAAGTTGAGCACATTATACTATTTAATCCGTGCTTTGAAAGACAGGTACATAAGCATCATCCACTTACAGATGGCAAAATAGCAACTCAGAGAGGCTCTGAGCTGGCAAAGGCAATCACACACGCTCCCCACAACCAGCATTTCACTTTGGGAATGCCTCATTCCCAACCCTGTTCTTGGACTTTTTTTTTTTTTTTTTTTTTTTTTTTTTAAAAAAAAAAACCCCCAAACCCTCTCCCTCTGTGCATCCTTTATCGCCTCTGATTATTACGCCTGACTGGTCCCACTGAATACAGAAATTCATATGAAGCAACAAGACTTCAATAAAGTCCAGTTACACTGAAAGAGGAGGAAAGGGTGGAAGTAAAAGTGGTGAAGGAGAGATGGTGGGGAAAAGTATTCTGGTAGGAGGAAGAACTTGGGTGGGGAGGGGGTGGGAGGGAGTTAAGTTCTTGCTTTTAAATATAGTAGTGTTTGGAAGGCTCAAAGAGGAAAGACTTGCCTCCTCAGAGTCTGTGGTACTGTACCCTGAAACACAATATTAAATATCAAATAGTTGCCAAGATGGTGCTTTCTTCTCCTTCCCTATATGCTTTCCTATGGTCTCTCTAACATTATTCCAAATAGTAATTCAACTCTGATATCTGTGGGCTTTTTTTTTTTTTTTTTTTTTTTTTTTTTAAATAAAAAAGCCCACAAACCATCGCTGCTCTGGCCCTAATGAGAGAGTTCCTTCTTCCTTGTTTGGGGCTCTTTCATGCATAGAATCAGGCAGAATTACTTTGCTTAACCCTCTTACTAATCTGACTTTTCCAGAAGTACCAAAGATAAAGACAAAAGTAACGGCTTCATGAAATACAGCTCTTTTCTTCTCCTGAGCCTGACAGTTGCTTCCAAAAGCAGATTGTCATGACAACAAACAACCTGGAGGCAATCCAGCCAATTAATCTGCAGAGGAAGCAGTCATCCCAACCTTGGAAAAAAAACCCCACTGCTGCTTTAAGCTTCAGAAGCCAAAAAAAAAAAAAAAGAATCCTAACAAGAAACCTTACCACCCACGTTAATCTTATTAGGCTGTCTTAGGCCTGTAGTGAAAAACAATTCAGCCCTTGGCACAGGGGCAGGATTTGCCGCAGCAGCCATAGCCATGCTGTAGTCCCCCACCAGCCCTCCCCGGCGGAGGTCAGGGGCAGGCTGGACCCCCCTCCCCGAGGCTCTGATCTGAGCAGAGCTGTTCCCAGGCTTCCATGCAGCCCAGCAAGCAGGCAAGTTAACGGGATGACCCCTTCAGCCCTTACACGTGGAGCCAAAGGAAAGAGCTCACAGGTTAGGCAGAGGTATACCACAGAAGAGACTGTCGCATACTACTGCTATAAACCCTGTTTTGTTGGCATTGCTGTTGCATGTTTTTCCTCTTCCCCTGTGAGCTGTCAAGAATATTTATCACCATGTTAAGCTCAGAACTATTTTCTCTTCCACAAAGGACTAAATCATCAGTGCAGCTAGATATTAAAATGATTCTCTTTCAATTTCCCTAATTTCTTTTTCCTTCATACCCTGCTTTATCTCTCTTCATGTGTCCTGCTTTCTATAGGCCCAAGCACATCACATCTCCCCTGAAAATATCCACTATCTCCCAATTTTTGCCTTCTCTGATCTCCCAGTAGTAACTCAGATTTGAAAATGTTTAGCAGCTGATGCCCAACACACATCATTTGTTAACTGCAAGTCATTCGCATATACTTCCATGTTTTATAAAATACTACCCTATTAAGTTACAGAAATCAAAAATAAGGAGCACTAGATGTAGACTTATATGATAAGTAAAAAGGAAAAAAACCCCAGATGTCAGAGATTGTGCTTTGAGATTCTCAATACCCAGCAATTTTCAAACAAAAATTTTCTTTCCTGTCCTCATCCTTTCCCCTAAATACAGAAACTACGAAGGGTAGGAATGAATTCTTTCACTGTAGGCTTGTCCTGCAGTGAAACGTGCCTTTCAGAAAGTAAGTGAGCAATGAGGATCTGAAGCTTTAAGCCTATGCAGATTTACTCATCTGGTAAATAAACAGACCACTGAACTACATCAAACTGAAGTTTTGTTATTGATCCTTCTGGGGCCAACGCATCTCTCGTAGAAGTCACTAAATGGATTCACAGCAACTTCAGTGAGCACTAGATCACAGATTACAAGCACTTCCTGCAAAAGTGCACTTTTACCAATCTGAAAAAGATACCAGTCTCCTGAGCACTGAGAATGAAATATATATATGCGCACGCACACACTCTCTCTACACTTAGGAAACCACAGCTCTAGCCAACACAGAGCAAGGCAACAGAATCCTATCTTCTACTGAGCCTGTTCCGCGTTAATTGGAGTTGGTATAATATTGGAGAATAGAATAAAACCCCGGTGCCTACCTTGAGGGCTTTCGCAGCTTTCTTCATCACTGTTGTCTTGACAGTTATTTTGACTGTCGCACACAAAGCTTTTATCAATGCAAAGACCATTTTTACAGTGGAATCGGGCAGTAGAGCAAAGCAAGGGATTTGCTGCTGCAGAAAGAGAAAGTGAGATCTTTCATTAGAAATTCTCTTACCCAGGCAGTGAAATAGCCGCTAAGCAATCAGCGACAACAGGTCTCAACAGTTGGTCAATTCGCTGAGTACGTGGGAGTAACTTGGCAATCAAACCAACCTTGTCTCTCTAAACAGAGCGCGCTGAAATCTCTAATTCACGCAAGATTCATTTCAATTAGCAGAGATTTAGTCCACCCACAGTTATGATAAGCCTTCTGTTCACTTCCGTGAGAGCCCCTACCACAATCACTGTTCGGTGCTCAGCATTTGCTCACACTGAAGACATATGGAGGGTAGCCTACCATAAACACTGCCTGTTGCTTCCCATTACAACAAACCCAGTTTAACTCAAGTTTCATATTATAAGCCAACAACTGTGGCTGAGAACTGCCAGGCAGTGGCTTATTTACCTCTGCTTCTTTTTCCACCTTCCCCATTCTCCTCGCTATTTTGAATCAATACAATAGCAATGTTGACATTTCTCAACTTCTCAGTGTTTGAATTTCAAGTCCTTTTTAAGGGTAACATGCACATTCCAGTAGCACCCAGAAAATCCTTTCACGTGAGGCCCAGTGTTGCACACAGAGCAAAATCAGAATAGTATTTAAGCAGGCTCATTTAGGTAGAGCAGTCTTCTCACCCATGCCAAACCCAGCAATACACGTGCTGTAAGATGCTATGCCTAGTTTCATTTAAAGCTTCAGGCAGTGCAGTTTTCACCACTCCTAGCAGATTACATCACAGCTTCAATGCATCTCACTGTCAAGGAGGTTTCCTTGATATTCACCTCAGTTTTCTCCTTTCTAATTTGATCCCTCTACTCAGTTATAGCCCAGCATACATAACTACATAATCCCTCCTCGAACAGTGTTTGCACTCTTCACATACAGCATATATAGCCTTATCTTCCAACATAGTCATCGCTTAGCTGAGATATGCATAATTTAGCAGTTTATAATATCTCCTCATAAATCAATCTCTCTGTCCCTTAATCATTTTTGGCACTCTTCTCTGAACTCCTGCCAGTTTTTGGTAATGAGGCGACTGAAACAGAATGCAACTTTCCAATTGAAAACCTTGAAAAAGCTGTTTAGATGCCTTGTCTGCTTCAAAGTGATTCTCTGCCATAAAAACAAAGGGGATTACAGTTCCCAAATACTAACTGGCTTCCTACTTTTTATTCTTTAAAGTAAGAGCTGCCTTTAGAGAGTCTTTAAAAAAACGCATAAAACTTTGAAGTCTGCTGTGCATATAACCTGTAGTATATATAATAAACACTCCCAATTCCTCCAGCTCCCCAAAAGCACGTTTATCATGAACATGCTAAATCTCCTTTGCTCTGAAACTGCTGCACTCTTGCATAGCATGTTGATTTTCCAGGTCACTTTAGGGCTTACAGTGTTGTTCCTCTATCCAAGCAACGCAGTGACTAGATACTTGGATATGCTAGAAAATACCAAGTGCGTGCTTAAATGGCATAGAGAAACAGGGAGATCAGCAGCATGTTATCATCAGCTGTAAGGTGCCACTAGAGCTACACACTACAAGCTCATGGAAAATAATATCATTCATAAATAAATCCATGAGCTGGTGCATTTTCAGTTGAGACCTGCCACTTGTCAGTCCACACCTCAAGGATATTCAAAGCACTTTTTTCAAGACTTCTTTCTAGTCCACTTGTTTAAATATAAGCCAAAGTAATTTCCTTAGCCTTCAATCTTCTTTCTCTAGCTCCACTTGCTCCGCAGAGGTGCTATCTCCCTGCCACAGTCCTCCCAGGGCCCAAAGCAGGCTCTGTAGGCCAACAGCAGATGGCACCTTAGGAAATGTTCATGCTGTGGGGGAAAGCACACAAACAAGAAAGGCAAGTCCTCCAAGAAGCAGACAGTGATAGATCACTGTAAAGATTGCTCCTTTTGTTATCTTTGAAAGCTGGTGTCTGTTGTCTTCCTCCTGACCTTTAAATGTCATTAAAAGAAAAAACTCAGCATGCTCCAACAAGTACATGAGCAAGTATTTGCTGCAAGCTTTGGCCTACAGACCCATGCTTTTACCAGTTCCTGATAATAGCAACAGGGCTGCTGGATTAACAGAAGCTTTCCTTACTGCTGTGATATGTCCCTGTTAGACTTACAGATACAAATGGCTCTATGCAGCCACATGCAGGGGGGTTACCCCAAGTCAAGTAGTACTGCAGATGATCTCTCTGCTGTGATTTCCCTGCAAGGTGCTGAACAGCAGCTCAAGCTAGCGCGTTGGCAGGCACGTCTGACTTAGAGAACCTCCTTCTCCTTCCAAGAATCTGTTTCACTAAATAACCCTTTATTTGCTTTTTTATTGTTTGAGAACATGCATAAACAGAGAAACCTAAATGTGCAGATGAACAAATAAGTCATTCTTCAGTGTCAAGAAACAGGCAAATAAAAATTAAACAATTTTAAGTCATATTAAATATTTGCCCAATTTGAGTTACATTTGAGCACAGAGAACCTGTTCAAAGCAAACATGCAGCTTAAATCTCATTTCAAAGTTACAAAGGGGCTAGAAACATCATAGAGGCATTATATACAAAACAAGACTGAGATGGACCTTAAAAAAAAAAAAAAAAAAAAGAAGACACTTGTCATTTACAAAGTGAAAAGCACGGGATCATCAGGGTCGTAAATGACAGGGAGAATATTTGACTCAGAAACTAAAGGCTAATGAATGCTTCCTTTCTAAGTAGTATTAATTAGTTGAAAGAAAAAGAAGCGCCCTCACTCGCAAGCAGGCTTGCACTTACTGCAGTTTTCCTCATCGCTGCCATCGGGACAGTCCTCGAAGCCATTGCACTGGAAGCGGCCAATGATGCAGTGGATCCCGCTTGCACAAGGGAAGAATGTGGCACCGCATCTGGATTTGGCTTTTGCTGTGAGAAGATACAGACAGAAGAGGGCAAAGATGAAGGAAACTATTTACAAAGGTTAGAAATACTTTTGTAGCAGTGCAGGTTAGGGTTCTCTAGGCAGTGCTGGTGGCACTGATGTTACGGGCCTTCCAAGCTCCCTATGGCCTGCTTTCACCTGCTGTAAGTTTTTTGTGAGCTTTCACTTGCTTAGGCTGATTTTCTTCCAATTTGTACGATTTCCATAATGACTGAAACATTCAAACTAAAACAAGCCAAATGACCTCTCAAAACAAATTTGAATTGCTCAACGCTTTGGAGTACATGTTTGTAAGTTTGGCAAGCAGGTCCTCCTAACTGTCCCTTAAAGACCCATGTGGATTTGACCAACTTAGAAGCACTGGAAGAAAAATATGAAAATAGAGGGTCATATTTCAGAGAAAACAAGAGCAACTATCTTGTCTTTGCATTAAAGTCTGTTGTAAATGTCACTGCCCCAGGCGTATGTCCAGGAGATAGACATCTAAGCAGGTCCTCAGGTGGCGGACAGCAACCCTCAGAGGCAAGGGTCTAGCTGGACTAGATGTAGTCCCTGCCAACCAGTAGCTATATGTCATGCTGAGTCCACAAACACTAAATAGCACCAAAAGTCTAGATTTTGTACACCACCAAGCTTCTCTTGCTTACTCAGCGAAGCCAAACAGCGAAGAGCCCAAGGCAGACAGAGATAATGAACATGGCAGCAAGTTCAGAGAATTTGGGATCTGGAGGCAAACTTGGGCAAAGACGGGTGTACAAAGAGTAAGCAAACATCAGGAGAAGGAAAGGAGGAATACAAGCGGGTTAGTGTCTTTGTGAGAATAACAAACACAAGAGACCTTCATTAAAGTATTTTTCAGGCTGCAAAAATGAAACTCAAAAAAGAGAATTCTATAATTAACACTGCCTTTATTCAGCACAATTTATATAAAATTGGGTGCAAAAGGAAAACAAGTTACATGAATTGCATCTCTTGCTGTATGTCTCTCTATCATCCATTACACAGTTCTTCAGGACAGAAACTACATCTATTTCATAGTACCAGCACAGCTATTCATATAGCACTGAACACTAAAACCAGTAGCATCAAAATGGGTTTAGCGAATGATTACAGAATCTCAGGATGATCTCAAATACTTCACATTTTTTAATTCACTGCACAACTCTTCACGACAAGAAGAGAAAATGCCCTCAGCTACAGTGATACAGATGCTTCTACCACGATGCTTAAGGCAAGCACCAGTTAAATCTTGTGGTACCACCAGCCTAGAACAAAGCAAACCCCAAAGTAGAAAACAATTTAATGAGACACATGGTTAGAGTTTTTTTCTCCCTTTTGCTTTTTCAAATTAGCACACAACACGATGGGACCACATTGCAGGACGCTAAACTCTTCAGAAAGTCCACTCTAAAGCAAAGCTAGTCGCTGTGGGAAGTGCATTCTGGTAACTGCAGGAAGGTGTGTACAGTGCAATGTGAACATGTGGTAATACCATACACTGACCACTGACAGGAGAACACCAGAAAAGAAGCCAGCTCCATAACTTGGGGGCCTTTTGAGTAAGTGTTTCCTACTCCTACAGCAAATCTACAAGATGCATTTACAAACCCCAGGTTTTGAGATGTGACAGATCTGGAGATCACAGCGGCAGGAAGTCTTTTTATGGAGCCATATGGCACATCAATATGCCATCCTGCACAGTTTTATAAGGCAGGACAAGGTCAGGGACAACTGGAGTACAGACAAATAAAAGTATATCCAATAGGGACAAACAGCTTCAGCATTAATTTGGAAGAAATCCTCTCTTCCAGGGTCAAAAACTAAGTGCTGCTGTAGCAAAGCCTTCTTCCATCACTCAGCAGAGTGCATGTAAACTGCTTTAAACCACAGCTACAGTAACTCTCACTTGATTTAGTGTCCTCCCAAAGCAAATTCCTGCAGTTCCTCTCTTACATGTTTTTCTTTATTATACCAGTAGTTTTCAGTTAGAATTATGAAGTGTAAAATAGGATGTACCACTGAATTTCACATATTCAACTACCACTGAAGAGTATCCAAGGTCCACTTGGGGAAAAAAGTGAACCATTACTTTGTAGAAAAACAGGTAATAAATTACCCTGACATAGCTGCCGTGCTTAATGCCACCGGCAACAGGAAACCCTCAGCCAAGATATCTGAGCCCCTGCAATTCTTTACACAACTTCAAAGAGCAACTTCTGTGTTAGGAGTTTTGAGGCAGATCGATCGCAGCTCAATAATTCAGTAACCACAAGGTCTGAGGCAGTACCATACCCCCAGCCTTTAAACAACAGCAGCAAAACAACCACCTCAGCAGCAGATTCCCAGACCATCACTGAAGCAAGCAGTCTGTACTAGCATCTGACCAATACTCAGCACACTAACCAGCCAGCCCAGCTGCTTGAGCTACTGCAATAAAGCCATAAGCAATATTTAATGTTTGACCACATGCGGAAGAAAAAGGTGCTGGAATGACCAGGAACAGAGTAGAGTTTCTGGAAAATGCACTCTTTCTTCTGTCCAAAGCATCCTGATACCCCATCAAGAAGAGGGAGAAATGATTCAGGACAATGATTTAATAGAAGTATTACTTAGTCAACATTTAGTTGAACATTTTCTCCCCAGACCTTTTCCTATGTCCTCCTCCTCCTGAAACAGCAGCCAGAGAGCAAGAAAATTCTGGTTTAGAGTAAATGTTTATCGAAAGAGCACATACTAGTAACCACAGACCAAAACCAAAAAAGAAACTAAACAAATTCATGTTGTTTCCCTTTTACATAGTCCACTGATTTTCTTTTTTTAAAAACTCAAGGGAAGGAAAGAAGAACAAGCAAAACTCAAATGCAATGCTCCATATTTGCAACAGGCATGATATATACACAAAACAATCCCAATTCAAACTTATATTTACATTAGACACTCCAAAAAGATAAAAGAGCATTTCAAATGCCATAGCGATTCACTAGTCACACAGCTAGCCATTTACTAGACACAAGTCTCACTCCCAAACAGAACTCAGTTTTCCAAGTTCCAATTGCACAAAATGCATTTCTCATATGCTGTGCATAAACACAGGAAAAATGGGAAAACAGTAATGGCTTAGTCCAATCCATGTCCTCTGACTCTGGAGAACTCCACTAGGGAATTTCTCCTTTATTTTCAATTTGACATCCTTCTTGTCCTCTGGCACAGTTTTCCAAAGTTTTCAAGCAAGTGTTGTTTGGTCATTGCTCATAGTTCCTCTGGAAAGCACAATCATTTCCTCATGAACAGAAGTGCACCCTCCCATTCTGCAGCAATCTCCGGAGATACCCTCACCGTGAAGGGGCTAGCCATTCTCCCCAGATCTTCAGCCCCCTCGCAAGTAACAGATATGTGACCAGGACCACAACTGCCTGGAGCAGATTGAAGCCATGTGCTGCACTATTCACAGCACTCCTCTGCAATTCCTACTCCCATCACATGACTGTTACAAAAAAGGTTTTCTTCTCCTTTGCTCATCATTGTGTCTTCTACTGCACAGGTCTCAAGTTTTCAGGCAGATCTGCATGCGAAAAGCTTTACATTTATTTAACAGCAGCTACCTATTTGGCTCCTTTAGTGACTTCAGCCTTGATAAGCTTTCAAGGACAGCATTACCTTTGTAATCTATATCCTTCCGTTACACTTGGCTGAAAGGGGCTCAGGGTAATCAAAAATTACCAGGATATCAGGAAATGACAAAAGAAAAGTAAAAAAGGACACAGACGCGTGTGGATCATCTGACTGTATTTAGCCTTGGTGTTATAACCAGCTAAAGGAAGGGGAAGGGAGAAGTTGGCTGTTTTTAAAGGAACTGGCAAATCCTACTGAGCTCAGGTACCCAGAATCTAAGAAACTGAGAGACCACACGTTGGAGGGGAAGGGGTAAGGACTGACGGACACGCTTGAAATACAACAAGAAATCCCACAGCAACTTACAAAACTGTGTCTAAAGAAAGGCTACTCAAATAGCAGATCCAGTGTGGATCCAATTGCAGAAATACAGCACGTACAAAAACCACCCCAAATAAACGGACATTGAACCAATTTGTGAACCTATGCCAGAAAAGTATAGAGTCACACCAGTTCCACTCCTCATTTGTTACCTATTCATGGCAGAAGCAATCCAGGACTGAAACATTAAAGTGGATCTGTATTTACATTACACAAAAGGGAATTGTCATGATCTTTAGAAAGAGGTATCGGTGAACCGCCACGCACTGGATCAGCCTCCTCTGACTCCATTAGCCATGGGAAGAAATTGCTCTTCACTAAAATACTCTTCTAATCTCTTAAAATTCAAATGGGAAGCAAGTGGTGAAGCTGGTGGCAGAGAACTGCTGGCCACAGTACAAGCTTGCCAAATTGTTCCCCCCAGGTTGGTTTGCTTAAGTTCAAGAAAACTATTTTGGCAGCTGTACGTGCGAGTGTGTGAAGTCGCTCCTTATGCTACGCAGAAACCAATCCTCCCACCCACTTCTTTTAAGGCTCTACAGAAACAGTAACTTCCCATCAGGACCGGTTGTACATTCCACTGAAGATGTGACAGTTTGCAGGCTTGGCTCTACAGCATTAACAGAAAAGCATTTTGCTATCTTTAGGGTACCAAGTGTGAAACAGCACTATTTTTCAAAAAGTGTAATCCATTTTATTATTTCTCAGCAGAGATGAACAACAGCAGGGAAAAGGAATCAGATTTGGCATATACTGTGTAAAATCTTATACCGTGTATAGATACCCCCTGGTATAAAAGCAATTCTGGCACTCTTGACTTGGCTACAAGGACTTAAAACCCTGCCATCTTCTGTGATGGGCAGGTGGTTTTTCTTTCCATAGACAGAGCAGCAAAGACACCAAATGTCTCCTATAATTATCAGCGAGTAACTGCAGTTGTGGCCTACATATGTGAGGAATATAGCCAGGACAAGATGGCATGGCCCAACTT